GTGTCGGCACTAAAGAAATAGGCCCATGGCCTCTGGCCGATTCTTGAATTTTTCGTGACTTGATTCACAAGGGATCCGGCCTTTGGAACCCGATCTTTCCGTAACTGACGCTTGATTGAGATAGCTGCTGGACCAGAGCTGGTCAGCGTTTGTCGACTTCGACATCATCACTCTGTCGTTGCGACCGTGTCTTCTCATACTGTAATCTTGCTGTTCATTATTCTTGCCAAGGCGAATTACTTTACATTTGTCAGCGTTAAAAGGCAGCTGCCACTTATCAGCCCAGTCAACCAGCCTGTCAAGATCACCTTGTAACTGTACTTTTTCGCGACGTATTCTTCACTGCATTATAAATTTTTGTGTCGTCAGCATACATCGAGCACACGCTAGGCACAGCTTCTGGCAGATTGTTTTTAAACGCAACGAATAAAAGGCCCGAGAACGCTTCCTTGTTGCACGCCGCTGCGCACTGAAGCCAAGTCTGAATTACGGACCCATTAATACTGACACGTTGACGTCTCCCTACTAGAAAATCTCTGATCCATTTGAGTACATTGCTGTCAATTCCCAAAGAATGCAATTTCCGCAACAGCCGCTCATGTGGGACACTGTCAAATGCCTTGGCAAAATCGACGTACACTGCATCTACTGGCACGTTGCATTGTTTACAAAGCCTTGTAACATGAGACCCGACCTGAGAATCAATTAATTTATTTTAGCATTGCTCAAATGAATGTGTCGACCATTAGGCATTAGCCATAAGTTAGATTTGGATTGGATTTGGGGCGTGGGGACTCTGAAAAGGGACATTGTAAGCGCGACGGTGACTTCCGAACGCTCTTACGTCAGCGCCAGTCAGACAGCCAAACTTTAACCGTGCAGGGAAGTGAACTTGGAGGATTTCTGACACTTTATTGGTAACGAAGGCACTAGTGGATACTGATGAATGTAGAATCAAGAACAAAAAAATGAACTCAAAATAAACCCAAAATGAACCCAAAAACCCAGCGGATGGCTCGTACTGAACCTATTGTTCGTAGTTAACCAATAAGATTCTGCAAACAAAAATAATAAATAAACTTAAGATATGGCTATAATACTCAACTTTAAATATTCCTAACAAAATAATTACAATTCACAGATATTACAGCATAAATTTAGATCTCACAATATAACTATTCACAAATATCACGCACAAATTTACATGTCACAATATAACCACTTTTCACAAAAACTCACCAACAGTGAAGCGCAAAGTGCTTCACGACTGACAGAATGAAAGTGACGCGCTTCGGATGATCAGGATGAACAGACTTTTTCTCTAAATGAAAATGCTAAAACCGAAAGACAAAAACATTAATGGAAAAATGGGTACAAATTTAACAGAACAAATACAAGAATAACTGTTGAATGCTCGCAAAAAATGACAAGGAAAATCGCGGTACAAAAATTTGAGACGCATGAGGCGCGGCTACAACATTCCAGAGTCAGGCCTTTACAACGCAACAACGGCCATCAGCCACGCATCGCATATTCATTTTGTTAGCAGAAGTAAATAATATACGTTTAAAAAATTACCTACTTTTTAAAGACAACACTTCTAAGGAATCCAGTGTCTCCAATGTTAAAGATGTACAATGAATTTCTCATTTTATTTTCGAATATAAAAAAATCAAATTTTTTTTATTATATAATTTTTTAAAATTATTTAGCCTGTCAATTGATTCATGCATTGCCCCCGACTTCACACAAGTGTGCCAAATTTCAGATCAATTGGACAGGTAAAAGTGTGTCATATATCAGTTATAAGATTTGTTTAATTTAATATTTAAAAAATATTTAATTTATAAAATTATTTATTTTATCACTTGATTCATGCATTGTCTCCAACTTTACGCAAGTGTGCAAA